AGCTACACAGCAGGGCAGCACCTCCCAGAGCTGCATTGACAAGAATCTGCTGGGGGAGAGGAGTTCATGCGCTAAGCACTAAATAACCCGGCAGGCATTTGGGCTCCAACCCGCTGCCATTTATAGATTCTTTGGTGAATCACACAGCAGCTCCAGCTACACAGCCCTGCAGCACCTCCCAGAGCTGCATTGACAAGAATCTGCTGGGGGAGAGGAGTTCATGCGCTAAGCACTAAATAACCCGGCAGGCATTTGGGCTCCAACCCGCTGCCATTTATAGATTCTTTGGTGAATCCCCATCCCAGGCTTCAGAGCATGATTCCAGTCCAGCCACAGCATCATACGGGTGGTTTTAGCACCATATCATGAGCCCTGAGAGTCCAAGTTTGTCCCCCCGGCTTGGAGACTCACTGCTCCGGGCTGAGCAGACAGACCCCTGGTGTGTAAACAGGAGACTGGGCCCCGAGCCCCACTGGCCAGACATGCCCAGAGTTTTCTCCCCAGGCTGCAACTCTGTATCCCTGGCTAAGGTGGGGCATGATCAGGGGTGAGCCAAGTCTGCCTGTCACAGTGCACAGGGACAATGTCTGTGCCCACCTGCCCCCCAATCCTGGGGCAGGAACAGCAGCGCCAGGGCCCCTCCCTTCTCTCCCAGGACAGAGCAGTGACATCCCTCAGCCTCTTGGGCAATGGGGCTCCCAGCCCTGATTCCTGGGTCAGGGTGAACGTGTCTCCCTCAGAGAGCTCTGTGACACAGCTGTGCCCTGTGATCAGGGGCTGGAGCTATGACTCATCCCTCTCCCACCCAGGACTCCTTGCAGCTCTTGATCTAGATGCCGTGACACAGAGCCAGTGCCCTGAGCAGGGCAGGAGTGCCAGGGGGCAGCTGTGTGCACTGCTGAGCTGTTGCAGTAGTGATCTCAGTGCAGCTGGCTCAGGGCAGGGCCCACAGTGATCAGCTTTGGTGCATTTCAGTCTGACCCACAAGGTGCTTGCACATGGTGACACTTCCAGTGTCCCAGCAGGCAGGGCGAGGCCTGTCCAAGGAGCAATGGACCCATGCTGCAGCCAGGGAGATTGAGGCTGGAAGCTTGGCTCTGGGACAGGGTCCTGTGGAGGCTGTGGGATCCTGTCACATTGGTGCTGTGAGGACAAACCTTGCTTGGGCAGGGCCTAGGCCATCCCCAGTGGGGAAAGCTGGAGCAAGTGACCTCTCAAGGTCCCCTCCAGCCCTGCATTGCTCCGAGTGTAGGTCACAGCTGTTCTGGGGGTGGTCCCAGGGCCTGGGAGCTCTGAGTGTAGTGTGTGGCACATGACATACCCTTAGTAATTCTGGCGGCTGACAACTCAGTGTCCCTGTCAGCAGTCAGGGCTGGCATGTGGCTGCCTGTACCCATCTCAGCAGGATGTTACTGGGCTGTGTGGACAGGCTCTATTGTTGGTCTCTGTCCAAGTTTTCCCAGGAGACTGATCTGAGCAATTTGCCCAGGACATGATGAGCTCTAGGTGGGTTGGTGGCTGCTGCGTGGAGCTGTTGGAGGTACTGATGCCTGTCCCATGGGGACCTGTCCCTCCTCTGCAATAAACCTCGGGTGTCCCTGCTGATATTGCTATTTGTTGAGCATTGAAAGTCCCAGGAAAATGCTCTGCACAGGGAAAGGAAACAAAAGCTGCTAGAGGGTGATGGGGTCTCACCCTAAAATACCAGCTGTATGTACATTACCTGCATAGAATGGGGCACATATCCACCCTGCAACCAAACACAGATATCGGTAAGAACACCCTTGAGCACAGACACAGAGCTGGAGACAGTGTCACACAAGGGCTGTACTGGGGGGATGGAACTTACTGAGCTCAGCCAGACGTCTGTCTGAAAATCAAACACAGAGAAACAAGTCAGTGTCACATTATCTCACAGAAGGGTAGCAAGTAAAAAACCCCTAAAGCAGGGAAGTTACAACCCTGAGGGTATGTCTACATTGCATTCCTCTTTTGAGAGAGGAATGCAAATGCAGCTGAGCGAAATTGCAAATGAAGCACAGATTTGAAGTTCCCGTGCTTCATTTGCAAAATTGCGGCCAGCTGCTTTTTCAAAATACCATATTTCGAGATAAACAAGACACAGTTATTTTGAGAGAAAACCATTCTTCTGAAATAACCCTTACTCTTTATAAAAAGAGGTTTAAGGGTTATTTTGAAAGAAGATTTTTTTTCCAAAATAACCCCATCTAGACTGCATTTTTTCTTTCAAAATAGGGTATTTCAAAAAAGTGCCCAGACATGATTGTGCAAATGAAGCACGGGAAATTCAAATCTGTGCTTCATTTGCAATTTCGCTCAGCTGCATTTGCATTCCTCTCTCAAAAGAGGAATGCAGTGTAGACATACCCTTAGACTCAACCTGGACTCAGCTACGTTACCAACCAGACACCAGCACCTCTGGGCAACACAGGAATGAGCAAGGGGAGAAATGCAGTAACCCCGTCCAGCCACCTGGCCAGCGGCAAGGGTTTGTTAGAGTCAAACAGGGATCCCTAAGCAATTGCAAACTGTTAACCCTGTGAAGCCAGGAGAAAGAAGCACTAAGTACATGGGGAGAATTAACAGGCAAAAATGGAATTAGCAGAGTGAATGGCCAAAGATATCAAACAAATTTCAGGGAATTATTTTAGTCCATCGAAATCAGGAGCCCTGTGAGAGAATGGTGGACCTCCACAATCTGAGGAATTGGCATCCTGTCTCACTCCTCAGCACGGACTATAAAATCATCGCCAAGGCCATCTCACTGAGACTGCGGTCCGTGCTGGCAGACGTGGTCCATCCAGACCATACCTACAACATCCCAGGCTGCACCATCTTTGATAACCTTTATCTGGTCTGGGATCTCCTAGTGCTCGGGAGTAGGGATTGTCTGTCTTTCCCCCTCCTGCCCTTGGATCAGGGAAGGCATTCGACCGGATGGACCACGGGTACCTCCTGGGCATCCTGTGGGCCTTCAGCTTCAGGCCCCACTTTGTGGGGTTTCTCCAGGTGCTGTACACTTCTGCAGAGTGTTTGGTCAAGCTCAACTGGACCCTGACTGCACTGGTCAGCTTCAGGCAGGGAGTACATCAGGGGTGTCTGCATTCAGGCTAGCAGTATACTCTGGCCATTGAGCCCTTTCTCTGTCTCCTCTGCAAAATGTTGACGGGGTTGGTGCTCCGTGAGCTGGAGATGCGGCTGGTCCTGTCAGCATATGCCAACGATGTGTTCCTCGTGGTCCAGGACCTGGGAGACCTGGCACGACTGTCGGTATACGCCGCTGACGTGTTCCTCATGGTCCAGGACCCAGGAAAGCTGGCATGGGTGGAGGCCTGCCAAGCAATCTACTCAGCGGCCTTCTCCGCCTGGGTCAACTGGGTCAAGATCTCTGGCCTGGTGGTTGAGGCTGGTTGGCAGCAAGCTCCCTCCCACCCATACTTCAGGCCATCAGATGAAGCTCAGGGTCACTGCTCTATTTGGGTGCTTTTCTCTCTACCACGCATCCCTTTCCGCCAGAGAACTGGCACAGTTTAGAGTCCAGGGGGGTTGGGCAGTTGTGGAAATGAACGGGACTGCTCCAGTGCCTCTCCCTGTGTGGGAGGGTGCTAGTGCTTAACCAGCTGGTCCTGTCCATGCTCTAGCACCGTTTCAACACCCTGGTCCTGACCCCCGGTTTCCTGGCTCAGATCCACGAGCTGATGCTGCGGTTCTTCTGGCCAGGTAGTCCAGCGTGGAGTATACTGGCGCACATTTTCCTTCACCACTTCTGAGGGTTCCGATATGACCAGCAACTCCTTTATTTGAGAGGTCTTCTGCAAGACCTCTCCAGGCTGCCAGCCTTCTACCAGGACCTCCTCTGGGCCTCGAAGCTGCTTGCGGCGACCAGGTCCTTGGGAGCCACTGTGGAGGCTACTCCCACAGGCCCCG